GGGCAGTTTCAGTGGAGTGTAGGGGACGGAAGCCGGACTGTAGAGGGTCAAGGAGGTTATTGTCAGTAAGGTGGGAGCTTAGGCGATCGTAGACTAAGCGTTCAAGGAGCTTGGAGGTGAGTGGCAGCAGGAGATGGGTCTGAGGTTGTTGGGGTCCGCGGGATCCAGGGAGGGCTTTTTGAGGATGGGGGTGATATGCGCGTGCTTTAAGGGGGAGGGGAATACGCCAGTAGAGAGGGGGAGAGATTGAAGATGTGGGTGAGGGAGCTGATGAGGGAAGAGGGGGGTGACCGGAGGAGTTGAGAGGGGATAGGGTCCAGGGGGCAGGTAGTGAGGCGGGCTTTTGAGAGGACTTTGGCGACTTCCTCAGTAGTGACAGGGCTGAGGGAGTGCAGTGCGGGGGGGGTTATGGTGGGCGGGGCATTGGGAGAGGAGGGGGGCAGTGCGGTTGTGAGGGCAGAGGAGGGGGGAGATGAAGGGGTGACGGGGAGCGAGGAGGCTAGGTGGGGAGGTAGATTGCAAGTTGACGATGTCCTTACGGATAGCGTCAATCTTGTTGTGGAAATGGGTGGCAATTTTCGTGGGCGTGTGAGAGAGGTACTGAGTGGAGGAGGGGGGGGGGAGAGCAGGGAGTTGAAGGTGGAGAAGAGTCGGCGTGGACGGGGGGGCAGGAGGAGAGGGTGTTTATTAGGTTAACAAAGTAGGCCTGCTTGGAGGCGTGGAGGGAGGAGGTGTAGATAAGAAATGCAGATTTTGTAGAGGGAGAAAGTATGAGGGGACCTGGTTTTGCGCCACAGTCTCTCCAGTGCGCGACTGCGACGTTTGAGGCGTTTAGTGCTGTCGGGTCTGCCAGGGTTGAAGCGGTCTGGGTTTGATGATGCGTGTGGTAAGGGGTGCCAGAGAGTCTAGGGCAGCTGACAGTGAGTCATTGTACAAGGTTGGTGGCTATGTCAGGACATGACAGTGAGAGGATGCTGTCGTGTAGGCAGTCGGCGGCAGAGTGGAGGGGGGCCGGGTTCAGGTTGCGGAGGTTGCGGCTGTGATGGTTTGGCGTTTTTTGAGGGGGGGAGTTGGGGGAAGGGAGATGGAGAAGGTGATGAGGTGGTGGTCGGAGAGGAGGGAAGGGGGTGTTCGCGAACTGGTTGAGGGTACAGAGGTGGGAAAAGACGAGGTCCAGGGTGTTCCCTCCGAGGTGGGTGGAGGATTGAGTGTGCTGTGTGAGCGCGAAAGAGGAGGTTAGGTGGAGGAATTGGGAAGTAGCTGGGGGTGTTGTCGTTGATGGGGATGTTGAAGTCCCCGAGGATGATGGTGGGGAGCTCAGAGGAGAGGAAAGAAGGGGAGCCAGGCGGCGAAGTCATCCAGGAAGCGGGCTATGGGTCCGGGAGGCCTGTAGATCACTGCGATCCTTAGGGGGGGTGGGTGAGAAGAGTCGGATGCAGTGCGCCTCAAAGGAGGGGAAGGAAAGAGAGGGTGGGTTAGGGAGGACCTGGAAGGTGCTATGCGGCGGAGACAGGAGCAAGCCGACACCACCACCTCTGCGATCGCTCAGTCTTGGTGAATGGGTCCAGATGAGACCTCCATGAGTGAGTGCCGCAGGGGAGGTGGAGTCGGTGGCCTGTACCCAAGTTTTCGGTGATTGCTAGGAGGTTGAGGGAGCGAGAGATGAAGCAGGTCATGGATGGCGGTAAGCTTATTGCAAGCCGAACGAGCATTCAGGAGTGCAACCGAGAGAGGGGGGATAGATATGGGGAGGAGGGGTACATGTATGAGGTTGAGGGGGTCGCGTCGGCTGGCGTGAGCAGGGGGGGCGTGTGAGGTGGTGAGGGGCCAGGGTTTGGGGAGATGTCCCCAGCTGATATGAGGAGGAGGGTGAGGAAGGTGGCGTGGGGAACGGGAGGTGTAGGAGCGCTTGGGTCTGAAAGTGGTGGCAAGTGGGTCAGCGGGGAAGTGGAGTTAGCAGGAGGAGGTGGTAGGGTGCCGTAGTGTGGGAGAGGGGAGAAGTGAGGGGGGCGATATAGAGCTGCTTAGCGGGGGTGGGGTGGGTAGAGGAAGGCGGTTTTAGGGATGGAGGAGAGGAGGACAAGGAGGAGGAGCGCGGGCGGCATGTTGGGGTGAGCGGGGTGGCAGGAAGGGTCAGGGTGGGTGAGGGGGTGCTGGTCAGGGATGGCGGCGAAGCAGGTGTCCGACAAACGCAGTGGGAGGTGGCTGGTAGTCCCAGGTGGGGGTGGAGGGCAGGGGGGGGATCCCTGGTGGGATGGTGGCCGTGCTATCCCTGGTGGGTTAGTTAGCGATCCCTGGAGGGATAGTGGTTAAGGGGTCCCTGGTGGTTAGGGTTTCTGGTGGGTGGTGGGATCCATGGTGGTGGCTGGCGGTGGGATGGTGGTTGGGCTCCCTGATGGGTAGTGGGTGCCCCTGGTGGAGTACCTGATGTCCTGGAGCGTCGGGGTTGGAGGTGGATCCCTCCTATGTTAGGAGGACCGTTGGTGCTGGTGGTGGTAGCTTCCCCGGGAGGAGCGGAGGCGTCCCGCTGCGATTCCAGCCACGGCCGGCAGGAAACACCGCGGCTTCGGGTGCCGTGGTAGGCCTCAAGCCGCTTCGGACCGCCGGAGCTCCGCTGGGGGACGGAGTGTCTGTGTCCCCTTCAGGGTGTTGGTGGGGACATCGGCAGCAGGCTCAGGGGCCCGGATGGCAGCGGATCGGGCGCGGGGGCGCCGGAGCTGACGAGCACGTGGCTGCTCCGGGCGAGCTGGTACCCGTGTGGTCGGGATGGACCCAGGGCCAGTGAGGGGGGCCCTGGGAGGCTGGCTGATCGGCGGGGACCGGGGAACAGAGCAGCGGCGGCCTGGGCTGATGCCCGGCGATCCGGGTCGGCCGCGCCAAAAATCGAGGCCGCGGCTTCGGGTGCCGGGTAGGCCGCAAGTCCCGGAGGTCCGGGGAAAAGGTGCAGTGGCCTTACCTGGCTGATGAGCAGGGACCGAAGGATCGTGGGGCCCCCGTTAGGGTCCGCTGCTGCCCAGACCAATCAGCCATAACATAATGACCACACTCACTATATATTCCTGTATACCCCCCCATATACACCGATCACCATAACATAATGACCACCCACTATATGTTCCTGTATACCCCCCCATATACACCGATCAGCCATAACATAATGACCACCCACTATATGTTCCTGTATACCCTCCCTGCATATACACCGATCAGCCATAACATAATGACCACCCACTATATATTCCTGTATACCCCCCATATACACCGATCAGCCATAACATAATGACCACCCACTATATATTTCCTGTATACCCCCCCCATATACACCGATCAGCCATAACATAATGACTACCCACTATATATTCCTGTATACCCCCCCATATACACCAATCAGCCATAACATAATGACCACCCACTATATATTCCTGTAAACCCCCCCATATACACCGATCAGCCATAACATAATGACCACCCACTATATATTCCTGTATACCCCCCCATATACACCGATCAGCCATAACATAAAATGACCACCCGCTATATATTCCTGTATACCCCCCCATATACACCGATCAGCCATAACATAATGACCACACCGCTATATATTCCTGTATACCCCCCCATATACACCGATCAGCCATAACATAACGACCACCCGCTATATATTCCTGTATACCCCCCCCCATATACATTGATCAGCCATAACATAACGACCACACCACTATATATTCCTGTATACCCCCCCCCATATACACCGATCAGCCATAACATAACACCACACCCACTATATATTCCTGTTATACCCCCCCCCATATACACCGATCAGCCATAACATAACGACCACCCACTATATATTCCTGTATACCCCCCCCATATACACCGATCAGCCATAACATAACGACCACCCACTATATATTCCTGTATACCCCCCCCATATACACCGATCAGCCATAACATAATGACCACCCACTATATATTCCTGTATACCCCCCCCCATATACACCGATCAGCCATAACATAATGACCACCCACTATATATTCCTGTATACCCCCCCCATATACACCGATCAGCCATAACATAATGACCACCCACTATATATTCCTGTATACCCCCCCCATATACACCGATCAGCCATAACATAATGACCACCCACTATATATTCCTGTATACCCCCCCATATACACACCGATCAGCCATAACATAATGACCACACCCACTATATATTCCTGTATACCCCCCCATATACACCGATCAGCCATAACATAATGACCACCCACTATATATTCCTGTATACCCCCCCATACACACTAATCAGCCATAACATAATGACCACCCACTATATATTCCTGTATACCCCCCCCCATATACACCAATCAGCCATAACATAACGACCACCCACTATATGTTCCTGTAAACCCCCCCCCCATATACACCAATCAGCCCTAACATAACGACCACCCACTATATATATTCCTGTATACCCCCCATATTCACCAATCAGCCATAACATAACGACCACCCACTATATATTCCTGTATATACCCCCCCATATACACAAATCAGCCATAACATAATGACCACCTACTATATATTCCTGAAGATAAGCTCATATGTGCCATGACAGTATGAAAAAAAAAGTGATGAACAAATGTATTTGTCACATAAGTGTATAGAAGGAAGAGCCACCACTTCAGAATGGGAATGATGGTGGCCAGTGGCAGAGGGTTCCAGTTGGAAAGGTGGCATAGTGTCTGTGTAAGCACGCCCTTTTTAGCGGAGAGTCCCTATGCTAGGGCCACTATGGTACAGAGCAGGGGCGGAACTGACAACTCATGGGGCCCCGGACAATAGGGGATCATGGGACCCCTGTGTCCTTGCCCAAACTCAAAAAGCCTATGAAAAAGGTGCCAGGGGCATCTCATGGAGCCCCCTACTGACCCCCGGGCCCTCGGGCGATGCCCGAGTTTCCAAATGGTCAGTCCGCCCCTGGGCAGGATCAGAGTCATGTCATTGACTGGAGCAGGGGCGGACTGACCATTTGGAAACTCGGGCACTGCCCGAGGGCCCGGGGTCAGTAGGGGGCCCCATGAGATGCCCCTGGTACCTTTTTCATAGGCTTTTTTTGAGTTTGGGCAAGGACACAGGGGCCCCATGATCCCCTATTGCCCGGGGGCCCCATGAGTTGTCAGTCCGCCCCTGGACTGGAGTGCAGATGTAGTCCTGTCCTGATGTGGGACCAGGTGAAGTAATATGGCTTCTGACCCCTAGATGGTGCTAACTCACACAAACATAAAACAGTCCTGTTGGCTGCATGCAGTTCCTCCAAGTGACCACCAGGCCAACACACCCAGAGAGTGCTTGCTGAACATCACTGTACAGGCAGGGCTGCTGCTAGACTATTGCTCTAGGCAAGACCAGCTACTGACGCATCCCCCCCCCCCACAAAATAAATAAATAAATAAATAAAAACTTTCAAAATCAACAAAACATGAAAATGCTAAATTTCTTTTAATTTGCAAAAATAAGTACCATAAGATGCCACTGGCACCAATATTAACCCCTTGCCCTCCAGAGAATTTACCCCCCTTCATGACCAGGCCATTTTTTTTTTTGGCGTTACGGTGCTGTGTTACTTTAACTGACAATTGTACGGTCATGCAACCCTGCACCCTAATGAAATTTACGTCCTTTTTTTCCCACGAAGAGAGCATTCTTTCGGTGGTATTTGATCTCCTGTATTCGATCACCTGTGCGTTTTTTATTTTTTGCACTATAGAAAAAAAAGACTGGCAATTTTGAGAAAAAAACAATGTATTTGACTTTTTGTTATTAAAAATGTCCAGTAAAAAAATTTCAAAAAATCTAATTTCATCATAAATTTAGGCCAAAATGTATTCTGCAAAAAAAATCCCAATAAGTGTAAAGTAATTGGTTTACGTGAAAGTTATAGCGTTTAAAAATGGCGATATATATACTGGAATATTTTTTTTTATACAGGTAATGGTGGAGATCAGCGACTTATAGCGGGACTGCAGCGGGCATTCTGATACTGGGGGGGAATGACTTGGTGTCACTGACATCCCCAATGACACCAACACAGTGATCAGTACTAATAAAAAGCACTGACACTGTACGAATGGCACTGGGCAAGAAGGGGGTAACATAAGGGGCGATCAAAGGGTTAACTGTGTGCTGTGTATGTTTTACTAGGGAGACATACTGCTGTGTATTTCTCTGTTGTGCAGAGAAATACACAGCAGCATGTGACTGCTGGCAATAGAAATACCTGTGTTGTTTACATACAGACCTCTCCCCCGTCAGTGATACTCAGTGTTCACCTAGTGGCAGCGGGGAATCACCAGCCAGGACCCGGCGATCAACAGCTGAAGCCGCCAATTTTGTGCAGCCATGCCACCCTGTAGCAGTATTTCTGCTATAGGGTGGAGGGCAAGCGGTTAAAATCACAGATGGACTATCTGTGGCTGGCAGTGGCAGGGTGTGCTATTTGCTAAACCCTTAGAGAACACGTAAGATTTGTATCTGCCCATGTGTAGCCAGCCAGTTAGATTTGGGTGAAGTCTCCTTCTAGTGGTGGCCAGGGGTATTGTGAGCTGTGACAAGTGTATCACAATTAGTATTGCTCGGAATGAGCTCCACTTATTCCCTCTTTCACCAAACAAGGCCCCTGCCCTGGAGAGAACCACAGATTTGCATCCTTGACAATACAGTATATAGATCTACCTACTAACAGGTACAGTGTATATATCATGTATGGATCTATATAACCTGACAGAGGAGAGTGTATACAGTATATCGTGTATGGATCTGTGTATATACCAGTATATATTGTAGATCTATACTGACAGAGGACTGTGTATGCACAGTGTACGGACCTGCACTGACCTGTTGGGGTAATATATATATGATATGGTTCTCTTCTGTTTTTTGAAGAGTTCATTTCGGTAGCATTCCAGGAATTCCTCCTCAGGGTAGATCTGTCCTTCATCTCACCTCTCTGGACGAAGCTAAAGCTGCATGGAATAATGTCCCCTCTAATATCTGATCCAATGTCCCCCCATAGCTTCACCTACCTGGGTGAGTGTACATCATACATAGAGCCCAATCTTCATCTTCCAGGGTGACTGGACTGCACACCACACATGGCACCCAACCTTCACCTCCCTAGGTAAGAGTACACCATACATGGCACTCAATCTTCACCTCCCTGGTTGAGTGTACCCCAAACATGGCACCCAACCTTCACCTCCCTGGTTGAGCTTACACCACATATGGCACCTAACCTTCACCTCCCTGGATGAGTGTACACCATACATTGCACCCAATCTTCACCTCCCTGGCTGAGTGTACACCATACATGGCACCCAACCTTCACCTTTCTGGATGAGTGTACACCATACATGGCACCCAATCTTCACCTTTCTGGCTGCGTTTACACCATACATGGCACCCAACCTTCACCTTTCTGGATGAGTGTACACCATACATGGCACCCAATCTTCACCTCCCTGGGAGAGTGTACACCATACATGGCACCCAATCTTCCCCTCCCAGGGTGAGTGTACACCATACATGGCACCCAATCTTCCCCTCCCTGAGTGAGTGTACGCCATACATGGCATCCAATCTTCCCCTCCCTGGGTGAGTGTACACCATACATGGCACCCAATCATCACCTCCCTGGGTGAATGTACACCATACAATGCACCCAATCTTCACCTCCCTGGGTGAGTGTTCACCATACATGGCACCCAACCTTCACCTCCCTGGGTGAGTTTACACCACATATGGCACATAACCTTCCCCTCCCTGGATTAGTGTACACCATACATTGCACCCAATCTTCACCTCCCTGGCTCAGTGTACACCATACATGGCACCCAACCTTCACCTCCCTGGATGAGTGTACACCATACATGGCACCCAATCTTCCCCTCCGTGGGAGAGTGTACACCATACATGGTACCCAACCTTCACCTCCTTGGGAGAGTGTACATCATACATGGCACCCAATCTTCCCCTCCCTGCGTGAGTATACACCATACATGGCCCCCAATCTTCACCTCCCTGGGTGAGTGTACACCATACATGACACCCAATCTTCACCTCCCTGGGTGTGTATACACCATACATAGAGCCCAATCTTCACCTCCCCTTTGAGTATATACCATACATAGAGCTCAATCTTCATCTTCCAAGCTGAGTGTAGACTATACTTGGAACCCAATCTTCACCTCCCCAGGTGAGTGTACACCATACATTGCACTCAATTGTCTCCTCCCCGGCTGAGTGTACATCATACATAGCACCCAAGATTCATCCCCCCAGGTGAATGTACATCATACATGGCACCCAATATTCATCTCCCCTGGTGAGCGCATACCATACTTGCTACCCAATTTTCAACTCCCTTGGTGAGTGTACACCTTACATGGCACTCAATCTTCATCTTCCATGCCGAGTGTACAGTACATTTGACACCTAATCTTTATCCCCCTGGGAGAGTGTACACCATTCAAGGCACCAAATCTTCACCTCCCTTGGTGGGTGTACACCATACATGGCAACCAATCTTCACTTCTGCAGGTGAGTGTACACCGTACATAGAGCCCAAAGTTAACCTGCTTGCGTGAATGTACACCATACATGGCACCCAAGTTTTCCCTTCCCGGATGAGTGGACACATACATAGAGCCCAATCTTAATTTTCCCAACTGAGTGTATACAATACATGGTACCCAATATTCACCTCCTCTGGTGAGTGTACATCATACATAGCACCCAATATTCAGACCCTCCCGGGTAACTAATCTTCACCTCCTCTAGTGGATGTACACTATACATTGCACCCAGTCTTCACCTTCCCAGGTGCGTGTACCTCATGCATGGCAGCTAATCTTCATCTTCCCTGCTGAGTGTACACCATACTTGGCAACCAATCTTCACCTCCCTGGGTAAATGTACAATATTCACCTCCCCTGGTGAGTGTACACCATACATGGCACCCAATCTTCATCTTCCTGAAAGAGTGTATATCAAACATAGAGCCCAATATTCACCTCCCCAGGTGAGTATACACCATGCATGGCACTGATGAGACCCCTGACGAGTCATAGTCCTCTGCTATCACTTCCAAATTAAAGGAGACAGTTTCAGGTTTTATTGATGCAGTGGGCACCGCTCTTAAACTAGAGTACCAGTTGGTTTCTGCTACCAGTGATGTTTCCAGTTTTTTAAACTTCTAAGGCTGCAAAGCCTTTACCTTTGAACCAGGGGCAGACTGACAACTCATGGGGCCCCCGGGCAATAGGGCATTATGGGGCCCCTGTGTCCTTGCCCAAACTCAAAAAAGCTTATGAAAAAGGTACCAGGGGCATCTCATGTGGCCCCCTACTGACCCCCCGGGCAATAGGGGATCATGGGGCCCCTGTGTCCTTGCCCAAACTCAAAAAAGCCTATGAAAAAGGTACCAGGGGCATCTCATGGGGCCCCCTACTGACCCTGGGCTCTCGGGCAGTGCCCGAGTTTCCAAATGGTCAGTCCGCCCCTGCTTTGAACCTGTTTCTTCATTGCCTCTTCTGACAGACAGACCCTTGATACCATCATAAAGGATGCTACCGGTGGTGACAGACTGTTAAAAAAACATTTCTTTTGTTTCTCCACTCCCTCAATGTCTTTGTTGAGATTCTCCTGGTTCCCAATCAGCCCACAAGGATGGGTTCTCAGAGCCTGCAAATCTTCAGACAATTCTCCCTATGCATGAAGTGCTCCACCTCTATCCAGAGCAGGGGAAGGTTTATTAAACTTTGTGCTTGGACAACTTTCATTTCTGATGCTTGGGTGCAGGAGATGGTATCCTATGGCTACAAAGCTCCACTTCCTGCCCTCTCCTCAATTTCTCACCCTCCAATCTTCACAGATTAATGGATCTTCACTGGGCTTGAGACTTTATGGCTTCTGTGGATATCAATGACACATACATGTATGCCCTCACTCATTCAGTACATCAATATTTCCTACCTTTTGCTGTGGAGCCTCTACACTACCAACATGTGGCCGTGCCCTTCGGCCTTTCGTCAGCACCTTGGGTATTCACCAAGGTGCCGGCCTCAGTCATAGCTCTGCTGGCATCTTCATTGTGGAATTTTTAGAGGAACGTTTTAGGAACCATCAGCATTGCCTTTGTAAGAAGTCTCTGGCTTTGACTTTCCAGATATTACAGTAGTTCAGATGGATCCCGAACCTCCAGAAATTGTTATTGGAACTGACTTATTATTTGGAGTATTTGTCTAGTCCTGGAAACAGCTCAAACCAGAGTGTTCCTACTGCAGAAGAAACTAAAGACACTACAGACTCAGATTTGAGCTCTTTGGTCTTGAAGTTGCCTAACTCTGCTCTGGCATGAGATTCCTGGGCATGGTTTTGGTGGCTTAGGAACCTGGGTCATATTGGATGGTAGCCTGTCTGGCTGGGCACCTTCTTGGTGCAGAGGACTTGGTCGTTGGCAGAATCTCATGTCAGTCAATATCCTGAACTTCAGGCGATTTGATCTCTGCAGTGTTGGACCATCCTGTTGGAGGATCATCTGATCTGGATTCAGTTGGACAACACCACAGTGTTGGCATACATTAATGATTGGGGGAGAACCAGACGTTTGCTGCAGCAAGGAAGGTAAAATGAATCCTGTTCTGACCAGAACTTCATGTTCCAGGTTTGTCACCTGTGTAAATCCTAGTCATAGACAATAGCTTCCTCAGCCAACAGCATTTTGACCATGGGGAGTGATCCCCACACATGGAGGTGTTCTAGGAGCTGTGTGGGGAAATGTATATTTCCTCCTGGCCTCCAAGTTCAACAGCAAACTAGACATATTTCTCTCTGTGTACAGGGATCTGCTAGCAGAAGCATTGGACGATGTGACTTTCAGTGATCCTCATTGCTGGATGTGATTCACCAACCAGGTCATGGTTCCCCCTTTCCTGTCAAGACACCCCCTACCAGATCTGTGAGCACTTTTTGAGCTTTTCAGAGGTAGGCTTCTGTTTCTGATATTTGTAAGGCTGACACCTGGTCTTCTGTTCAGACATTCTCTAAGTTCCACTAGATGGCCATTGTGGTCTCATCTGATTCCAGCTTTGGGGGTTAAAGCATTACTAAACCCAGGACCCTGCATCCACTATATCTGGTCTCCCACAGTACACACAACATGGAAATGAAATTATTTTAGTAAATATAAACTGCTAAATACCTTTTCTCATCAGAAGTTAGAGCAGTCTTGTGGCTTCTATCAGTGTTCAGCCAAGCACTAGCTAAAGCTTGTAAGAGAAGTTTTCTTTCTGCTCTAGGAGGATGCAAAACCCTTGACCTCTGTCTGACCAGTGCTGATTGGCCCTGTGCTAGTCATGTGCACTCTCCCAATAAAAAAAAAAAACCTCTCTAGCAATACACACCAAACTGAGCATGTGCAAAATGCCTACAGTTCAGTCTGTCTTATCAGGAGATAAGAGGTGGTCGCTTGAAAAAGGGGAGGAACAGAGAAGAAAGGGTCAAAGGGCCTTTTTTACACAATGCAGATGATTGAATGTTTTTTTTGGGTTTAGTAACACTTTAAGTCCTTCAGGTGGCTCTTTGAGCTGAAGACAGTCCTTGGTTCTCTGTTGTTTTCTTGGGCCTGTTAATGATTGCTTGTTGCATTGCCCACCCATCAGATGGGCTGTTTTTGGACATCCTGAAGGTGAAAGACTCCCTGTGTCCTTCAATAGACTAGAAAGATACAGTCAGGTCCATAAATATTGGGACATTGACACAATTCTAACATTTTTGGCTCTATACTCCACCACAATGGATTTGAAATGAAACAAACAAGATGTGCTTTAACTGCAGACTGTCAGCTTTAATTTGAGGTATTTACATCCAAATCAGGTGAACGGTGTAGGAATTACAACAGTTTGCATATGTGCCTCCCACTTGTTAAGGGACCAAAAGTAATGGGACAGAATAATAATCATAAATCAAACTTTCACTTTTTAATACTTGGTTGCAAATCCTTTGCAGTCAATTACAGCCTGAAGTCTGGAACGCATAGACATCACCAGACGCTGGGTTTCATCCCTGGTGATGCTCTGCCAGGCCTCTACTGCAACTGTCTTCAGTTCCTGCTTGTTCTTGGGGCATTTTCCCTTCAGTTTTGTCTTCAGCAAGTGAAATGCATGCTCAATCGGATTCAGGTCAGGTGATTGACTTGGCCATTGCATAACATTACACTTCTTTCCCTTAAAAAACTCTTTGGTTACTTTTGCAGTCTGCTTTGGGTCATTGTACATCTGCACTGTGAAGCGTCCAATGAGTTGTGAAGCATTTGGCTGAATATGAGCAGATAATATTGCCTGAAACACTTCAGAATTCATCCGGCTGCTTTAGTCAGCAGTCACATCATCAATAAATACAAGAGAACCAGTTCCATTGGCAGCCATACATGCCCACGCCATGACACTACCACCACCATGCTTCACTGATGAGGTGGTATGCTTAGGATCATGAGCAGTTCCTTTCCTTCTCCATACTCTTCTCTTCCCATCACTCTGGTACAAGTTGATCTCGGTCTCATCTGTCCATAGGATGTTGTTCCAGAACTGTGAAGGCTTTTTTACATGTCGTTTGGCAAACTCTAATCTGGCCTTCCTGTTTTTGAGGCTCACCAATGGTTTACATCTTGTGAACCCTCTGTATTCACTCTGGTGAAGTCTTCTCTTGATTGGTGACTTTGACACACATACACCTACCTCCTGGAGAGTGTTCTTGATCTGGCCAAATGTTGTGAAGGGTGTTTTCTTCACCAGGGAAAGAATTCTTCGGTTATCCACCACAGTTGTTTTCCGTGGTCTTCCCGGTCTTTTGGTGTTGCTGAGCTCACCGGTGCGTTCCTTCTTTTTAAGAATGTTCCAAACAGTTGTTTTGCTCACGCCTAATGTTTTTGCTATCTCTCTGATGGGTTTGTTTTGTTTTTTCAGCCTAATGATGGCTTGCTTCACCAATATTGACAGCTCTTTGGATCTCATCTTGAGAGTTGACAGCAACAGATTCCAAATGCAAATAGCACACTTGAAATTAACTCTGGACCTTTTATCTGCTCATTGTAATTGGGATAATGAGGGAATAACACACACCTGGCCATGGAACAGCTGAGAAGCCAATTGTCCCATTACTTTTGGTCGCTTAAAAAGTGGGAGGCACATATGCAAACTGTTGTAATTCCTACACCGTTCACCTGATTTGGATGTAAATACCCTCAAATTAAAGCTGACAGTCTGCAGTTAAAGCACATCTTGTTCGTTTCATTTCAAATCCATTGTGGTGGTGTATAGAGCCAAAAATGTTAGAATTGTGTCGATGTCCCAATATTTATGGACCTGATTGTAATTGGTCATTTGAACTCATTGTGAAATCCTTTTCTTGGACTCCATTGAGGGACACAGGTCCCACTTCTGTAATTATGATCATGCTCTGTGTACTGCTTTGCTACAACACTGAGGAATGCTGGAAGTAGGAGGAGTTATCCTGGGTTGCCTAAAGTTTTTTTCTTTGCCTTTGTCCAATGCTCCTGTAGGGGGCAGTATAACCCACAGGTTAAGGGTTTCTGTGTCCTTCGATGAACTCCAAGAAAAGGATTATACAATGAGTACAAATGGAATGGAGTGGAATAGGGAAAGGCTAGGTGTCAGTGTTTTGAATTCATCTTTTCCTGCCAATGATGAGTCAGTGTAATGTGCAGCCACAGATAACACACATGAGACACACAGATAACACACATGTGACGCGCACTCCCAGCACAGCAACCGTTACGCTGTGCTATTCTGTGGACACATTGTCATTGCAATAAAATGTTTTGTGGTTCATAAATGTCAGCTAATAATTTTCACCCACTGGGCATCGCACGAGAGTGAGCGGTCTGCGTTTCATGCACCAACCAATCAGGATTTTCTTACATACAATGTCATACCCACAATGTGTCTTGCAGGAAGTGTCAGTACCTGTCATTGTGGAATGTTTCTGTGCTCTCCGACGGTCTCGTGATGTGTATTGTAACAAACATTTAGTAACCTTGGCATTTTTGCTGTTTATATTTTTTCTGTAGCTACCATGCCTCTTCATGAATATCTGTAACAGGATGATAATTGGCTGAATTATGAGACAATGAGTAACTGAAACTTGCAATTTATTAAGCAGGGGCAAAGTTAATATCAATACTGGATCCACCATTACTGAATGGTAGTGGGGCCCCCAACACCAACTGTCTTCTACATGTAATGTCGTTTTATCATTTCTACCCCAGAGATCTGCCAACACTTCACACCTTTATCATTTATCACACCTCCCTTCCTGTTCTTGGACAAACAACATCTATGCATTCTGTGGTGGTTGGATGAAGGTATCAAAGCTACCTGTGTGGAGATAACTAGTGGGGTATCTTCCTGACATTCAATAGAACTGAAGAAGTGGCTTGGGAAAGCTACACCACCAGGGGCGGTCTGACAACTTATGGGGCCCCCGGGCAATAGGTGATCATGGGGCCCCTGTGTCCTTGCCCAAACTCAAAAAAGCCTATGAAAAAGGTACCAGGGGCATGTCATGGGGCCCCCTACTGACCCTGGGCCCTCGGGCAGTGCCCGAGTTTCCAAATGGTCAGTCCGCCCCTGTACACCACATAACAAGTTCAGATGAATGTGACCAACTACTACACAATCTGCCATGATCTGGATCCATTAGATCAACTACTACTCGATCTACCATGATCTGGCGAGATCAGAACCTCCACTGACTTCTCTGCTTGGTGCTTTGTAAAACTGGTGAATGCCGCATGACACAGACACAACATATATTGATCACTATGATGTGTATGACCCAATGCATTCCCTTCATTCTCTTCAGAGTTTCATTCCAATCGATCTCCAGCAAGAAAAGTAAAGTGAACAGCGCTACTAACAGGGGCGGACTGACCATAAGGAAACTCAGGCACTGCCCGAGGGCCCGGGGTCAGTAGGGGGCCCCATGAGATGCCCCTGGTACCTTTTTCATAGGGTTTTTTGAATTTGGGCAAGGACACAGGGACCCCATGATCCCTTATTGCCTGGGGGCCCCATGAGTTGTCAGTCCGCCCCTGGCTACTAATTATAATTTACCTGATGTACAAAATCCTGTAAACAAATTATTAAAGTGCAATATATCAAATCGACAATGTGTTAAAGTGCAATTTTGTTAAAAAACAGTCTCATATAAGCACTATATCAAAAGTGCAATGTATCCAGTAAACAATATTTCAAAGTGCAATGTGCCCTAGAAGACGTCGTATGACAAAACGCTTAGGGCGTGGTTTTGTACTTGACGTCATCATGCATGGTGCGTTCATACTCGCGGCCTTAGATCACGGCGGGAGTCAGTCCGGCTATCCATATGAACTGTATATACTAGTGGAGACACACAGCAATGTGTCAAACAAAAATAAAATGGTGTTGCGCTAATATTAATAGTACTAAGGACAAAATAATTGGAAGAGTGGGGAGACAGAATAAAATAACCCCAAAACAGAGGGTGATAAATATAAAGGCCTGAATCCAGACCTAATTAGGTGCAATATGAACTGTGGAAAAGACAACGTGAGTAATATCAGCAAGTGAACATAAATAATACATAAAAATGTAAAGGCCTGAACCCGGACCAAACTAAGTGCAATATATATTGTGATGAAATACAACAGGAACAATAGTCACCAAGTGAACATAAATAATGTATTCAACATAATTGGACTTATGCAGTCCATAGACAGGTCAAAAACAGGCCGTTTAAAAAAAAAAAAAACTTTCCCCAAGGATGATGACACAGCAAGCAGAGATCCCCTTTGATAAAGGCAACAGATTGGAAGCTTACTTCAAACGCATCAAAGAAAAGAGGTATAATGATTATTCAAGTGAAGAGGGGTGGGGGCAGAATTTAGAAGACGTATGTCCCTTTGAATGCAAGACTTGGCTGGTTGAACGTGTTGCTTCTTTGTATAGAATAGGCCTAAGATAATATGTTTTTGCTTTTCTTTTTTACAGTTCCTGCCAATCAGACTAACAGAAAGCATTAAAGCAGTAATAACCGCAGATTAAAAAAAAAAAAAAAATCCCCTGCAAGGTAATGTCATAACGTGCTAGTACACATCACATACTAGCACATTATCAAGGACGTACCTTAAAATGAAGCCCTCTATAGAAAAGGGTGTCATAGTATACATGGGGATCCTACACCCCTCCAGTCATCTATAGGAGAGGGTGTCATAGTATAAATGGGGATCCTACACCCCTCCAGTCATCTATAGGAGAGGGTGTCATAGTATACATGGGGATCCTACACCCCTCCAGTCATCTATAGGAGAGAGGTGTCATAGTATACATGGGGATCCTACACCCCTCCCCTCCAGTCATCCAGTCATCTATAGGAGAGGGTGTCATAGTATACATGGGGACCCTACACCCCTCCAGTCATCTATAGGAGATGGGTGTCATAGTATACATGGGGATCCTACACCCCTCCAGTCATCTATAGAAGAGGGTGTCATAGTATACATGGTGATCATACACCCCTCCAGTCATCTATAGGAGATGGGTGTCATAGTATACATGGGGATCCTACACCCCTCCAGTCATCTATAGGAGAGAGGAGGTCAAAGTATACATGGGCAATCCTATACCTCTCCACTCATCTATAGAAGAAGATGTATATATCATATACATGGGGATCCTTTTCCCGTCTGTCACTCATAGGAGATGGCTGTTGTAGTAATGTAGAGGATTTCTATACAGATTAGAGAGTAATATCCACATAATGTCCAGTAAGAGGAGATGGATGGAGCTCTAACACATGGAATTACAATTCTTCATACATTCTGTGTTCCATGAGACACCAGTGATAGTGCTGCTGTAAATATATGAGTGATGATGTCAGTTATTTCTGTAAAAAAGTAATGATGCCACTGCTCACTTATATGAGTGATGATGTCATGGCTCTCTGTGCATGAATGATGATGTCACTGCTCTAGGTGCACAAGCGATGACGTTGCTGCTCTCTGTATATGAGCGCAGGGGCAGACTGACAACTCATGGGGCCCCCAGGCAATAGGGGATCATGGAGCCCCTGTGTCCTTGTCCAAACTCAAAAAAGCCTATGAAAAAGGTACCAGGGGCATCTCATGGGGCCCCCTACTGACCCCGGGTCCTCGGACAGTGCCCGAGTTTCTAAATGGTCAGTCCCCTGTATGAGCGATGATGTCACTGCTGTCTGTATATGAGTGATGATGTAATTGTTCTATGTATATGAGTGATGATGTCACTGCTTTCTGCATATGAGCCATGATGTAACTATTCTTTGTAAACAAATGTCATGGCTCTCTGTACACGAGCAATGGTGTCACTGCTCTCTGGATAAAAGTGATGATGTCACTGTTCTGCCTCTATGAGTGATGATGTCACTGCTCGCTCTCTCTATGAGTGATGATGTCACTGCTCTCTCTTTCTCTGAGTGATGATGTCACTGCTTTCTGGATATAAATGATAATTTTTCTGCTCCATGGATAAAAGTGATGATTTCACTGATGTCTGGATTTAAGCAATTGATGATGTCACTGCTTTTTGTATAAAAGAGATAATGTCACTGCTCTCTGGATAAACGTAATGATGTCACAGCTCTCCAGATATAAGTATATATCTGGCACTGTGACCCATTTACATTCTCTTCTCTCTGTCAGATTTGTGGCCCCCAGCTGTCTCTCATGTATCATTCGCCCTACCCTCTCCTCATTGACTCAGCACCACCTGCCATGTTCTCTCCTCCTTTATATCATTCCATAGACTGCTCCACAGAGAGAGGTATGAGGCTCTGAATCTAATAAAGATAGATAAGGTACTGTGTGTGATGGAGAGGTATGAAGCACAGGGTTTAATGGAGAGAGGCAACCTTCTCTGTAGAATTGAGAGATACTGTATGTTATGAAGAGGCATGAGGCACTGTGTGTAATCCAGAAGCATAAGGCACTGTGTGTACTGTAGTATCTAGACGTATGAAGCACTGTGTGTAATAAAGAGGTATGAGGCACTATGTGTACTGTAGAGGTATGAGGCATTGTGTGTAATATTTAGAGATCCAGCACTGATTGTAAGGGAGAGGTATAAGGCCCTGCATGGAATAAATAGAAATGAGACACGAGTAGAGCGGTATCATGGACATTGTGTAAAAAGGAGGTAAAGGACACTGTGTATAATAGAGAGGTATCAGGTGCTGAGTGTAATAGAGTGTTATGGGACACAGTGTAAAAAAAATATATGTATGAAGTGTAAGGTACTCTGTAAGAGAGAAGTATGAGGCACTGTGTATAGATTCTGCATTCTGTGTTTTTAAAAATCCCCGCCTCTGTGCCTTCATGTATGTGGTTAGCTGTTAGCTGCACTCTCTATATACACTACCATCCAGCGCTATGGTTACATGGAGGGTCCACAATACCAGCTTCACATGCCTGTTCGTTATTTGTAACAGGTGTGAGGCCCTGTGTGTAACAGAGAGGTATGAGGCACTGTAATAGAGAGATGTAAGACACTGTGTGGAAGTGAGCACTATTAGGCACTGTAGAAGAGAGGCATAAGGCACTGAGTGTACGTGAGCGGTATGAGGCACTATAATAGAGAGGCATTAGGCACTGTGTGTAATAGAGAGGTATGAGGCACTCTAATAGAAAGGTGTAAGACACTGTATGTAAGAGACTGGTATGAGACACTGTAATATAGAGGCATGAGGCACTGTGTGTTAGGCACTGTGTGTGTGGTATGAGACACTGTAATAGAGAGGTGTAAGGTACTGTGTGTAAGAGAGTGGTATGAGGCACTCCAATACAGAGATGTAAGGTACCGTGTGTAAGAGAATAGTATAAGTCACTGTAATAGAGAGGTGTAAGGTACTGTGTGTATGAGAGAGGTATGGGGCACTGTTTTTATAAGGCAGGTATTATGCACAGTGTTTAAAAAAGAGAGGCAGTAGGCACTGTGTGGTATAGAGCTTAATGAATTGTTATCCACAGTGACCAGTCAGATGCCATGTTAAATTGTAGGATATGAGAGCTGATTGGTGGCCCAGGCCAGATCCTTCAGTATTTGTGATCTTAAAGAAGAGATAATTGAAATAACAGGGACCAATAGTATTTGTCGTTGTGTGTGGTGCCATATTGAAGTAGCTCACAGGGTTTACCATGACACATATATTTGCTTGCAATCTAATACCTCGTACAGTCAAGTATCAGGATGTCCAACTGCCAGGCCTGAATGCCAGAAGGGGTAATGTGGCTCTGTGCACACCAAAGCCTGGCAATGAATATATGATATAATGTCCATTAGGCAGATATATTATATGATAGAATAATGTACAGGGGGTCGGATGTAATGATTGTGTGATATAACCATATACAGTAGATTGGATGTGATGATCATGTGATATAATAATGTACAGGAGACAGATATAGTATATGATATATTAATGTACAGGAGGTCGGATGTAATGATTGTGTGATATATAATGACAGACAGGAGGTCAGACATTAAGTTGTATGTAATGATGTGTGATATGACATTAAGTTGGATGTAATGATTGTGTGATAACCAGACAGGAGGTCGGATGTAATGATTGTGTGATATAACAGACAGTAGGTCGGATGTAATGATTGTGTGATATAACAGACAGGAGGTCGATATAATGATTGTGTGATATAACAGACATTAGTTTGTATGTAATGATTGTGTGATATACAGACAGGAGGTCGGATATAATGATTGTGTGATATAACAGACATTAAGTTGTATGTAATGATTGTGTGATATAGCAATGTAGAGTAGTTTGGATGTAATGATTGTGTGATATAACATACATTAAGTCAGATGTAATGATTGTGTGATATAACAGACATTAGGTTATATGTAATAATTGTGTAATATTCCAGACATTAGTTTGGATGTAATGATTGTGTGATATAACAGACATTAAGTTGGATGTAATGATTGTATGATATACCAGACATTAGGTTGGATGTAATGATTGTGTGATATACCAGACATTAGGTTGGATATAATGATTGTGTGATATAACAGACATTAGGTTGTATGTAATGATTGTGTGATATACCAGACATTAGTTTGGATGTAATGATTGTGTGATA